GGGGGATATTGGATGTTTAAATACAAATTACCTTCCAGACAGGTAGCCAGGAATTTATCATATTCGAATAGATTAATGAGCTGTGAGCGTATGAGCGCGTCTACCGCGTCAATATTCCATTTAATTTCATCTCTTGAGTCAACCAGGGCAGCGGTCACCTAGGACAATACTCATTTATTACCATACTTAAAGGGTCTGTTCTCGCTTTTGTGGATATAAAGAGCGTCCCAAATAATGTTGGATTATCTCCAACCGTTAAAGCAAAAATACTCACACAATACTCCAAAAGCCTGGCATTTTCTGCAAGAAAATTTTTATATTAGCCTTACACAATTTCTTTTTCACTTATTTAAAATTTTCTGATCAGTCTCCTATATCTCAATGTAAAGCTGAACACGATCTAATGTGATGTGGGACACCCTGTACAATACATTCATTTTTCACAACGATAACCTTAAAACCTTTAGTTCGAGTAACAATCAGGAGGATATCGATATTTTTCAAAATTTCCTTTCTATTTCATAAGACAGTAGAAAACCAAAAATTGTTTAGTATCAATATAATCAGAGAGAAAACTTAGAAGTTATTACGTGTACTGTTGTACATCATGAATCAGGTATGTAACCCTTAAATAGAGTCAGATCGGCATTTTAGTTCAATTTTAAGTCGAATGTTCTAGAACGTGGTATTGCGCTTCTCAGCGGTTATCAAATCTTTGCGTTTTTGGATTTGTTAAAGGTTTTTTTAAAATAAAGATTATCAAATCTTTGCGTTTTTGGATTTGTTGAAGGTTTTTTTTAAATAAGGAGATAAATTAGATCTTAATGAAACAATCTTTTCTGTCGTAGACTTAGTACGTTTTAAAAAAGGGTGAAAAGTGCTAATGGAAATAAAAAATTTCAGAGAAAGAGCAAAATATAAGAAAAGACTAAGAACATCTAATGCTTGACACAAATTAATGTCTAATGTCTCAACCTCTCTGCAATCTGCTGTCTGCTGTCTAATGTCTAAGGTCTGATATTTGAAGTGTGAAGTGTGAAGTGTGAAGTGTGAAGTGTGAAGTGTGATGTGTGATGTGTGTTGTGTGATGTGTGATGTGTGATGTGTGATGTCTAATGTCCAATGTCCAATGTCTGACGTCTAATGTCGGACGTCTAATGTCTGATGTCTAATGTCTAATGTTTGATATGTGATGTGTCTACCTGTCTGCTGGTCCAGTTTGGTCCATAGGCTCTGGGATCAGCTAGCGCCTAAGATAAATCAAATAATAAATAAAAAAAGGATTGTTTATCAATTAGTAATACATTCCTTTCATAAATTGAATACTTTACCACATCCTTGAGATGTGGTATTTGACAATCCATGTGCAACATTTAGAAAACAGGGATCAGAAGCTCAAAATATAAACTTATGCATCTCTAGATTTTGTCTCGGTTTCTGATTGGAATTTTAATAACTTAAGATTAAGAACTATATATGTAGATTAGAATATGAATATTTGTGCCACACAAGAATAATATTTGCAGTATCGTGTTAAAACATGCACTGTATACAAAATGTTAAGTTCTTAATAGAGTGCGTCTTCTTGACTATAGTACAAAATCAAGTTCTTAATAGAGTGTGTCTTCTTGACAATAGTAATAAATCAAGTTCTTAATTGAGTGTGTCTTCCTGACAATAGTAAAAAATCACGTTCTTAAAAGAGTGTGTCTTTTTGACAATAGTAAAAAATCAAGTTCTTAATAGAGTGTGTCTTCTTGACCAGTGTTTCGGATCCGTATCATTTTGATGCGGATCCGGATCCGGATCCGCATCCGTGATGATGGATCCGGATCCTGACTCTGATACGGATCCGGATCCGAGGTAACTTTTGATTCTGTGAATCGGATTTTCCCTATTAAATGTTATGCAAGGTTATAATTTATAAACTATATTTATTATATATTCCGAAATGTAACAAAAAAATATAGACTTTTATTTATATCGATATATTAATAATTAATATAGTCTAATTCAGCCCTAACTTGTTCCGATCACGTTCATCTTTTAAAAATGAATACTTTATATATTTGAAATTTGCGCCATGTGAGCATTTGCCGCTGAGTAATCCTAAAGTTAAAAATGTCGTCATTACTATTATATAAATGTAAACATTAAATTATTAAAGATAATTTTGAAAAATGTTCGTCATGTAAATAATACATTTACGAACCATTTTGATTTATTTATTCCATGGTTTTGGTTAATTTTTGGCGCTACCCGGATCCATATCAACGTTTCCTGATACGGATCCGGATCCGACCAAATGATACGGATCCGACCAAATGATACGGATCCGACCGGATCCGGATCCGAAACGCTGTTCTTGACAATAGTAATAAATCAAGTTCTTAATAGAGTGTGTTTTCTTGACAATAGTAAAAAATTAAGTTCTTAATAGAGTGTGTCTTCTTGACAAAAGTACAAATACATGTTCTTAATAGAGTGTGTCTTCTTGACAATAGTAATAAATCAAGTTCTTAATTGAGTGTGTCTTCCTGACAATAGTAAAAAATCACGTTCTTAAAAGAGTGTGTCTTTTTGACAATAGTAAAAAATCAAGTTCTTAATAGAGTGTGTCTTCTTGACAATAGTAAAAAATCAAGTTCTTAATCGCGTGTGTCTTCTTGACACTAGCAAAAAATCAAGTTCTGAATAGAGTGTGTTTTCTTGACAACAGTAAAAAATCAAGTTTTAATAGAGTGCGTCTTCTTGACAAAAGTAAAAAATCAAGTTCTTAATAGAGTGTCTTCTTGACAAAAATACCAAATAATAGAGTGACGAATACAGTACTTATATAAGATAAACCAGGATTATATTAAAATATATATTTAGAGGTTCAATCAAGAGCTATTAAAATATAGAAAACCCTCAATTAAATATATCTTACAAATATCTGGATTTAAGTATAATTACTCATTGAGATATCAAAATAGGAATTTAAGTGCTATTTCACGAGTTTTAACTAGTAAGAACAAAATCAAATAAATCTAAATCCATGTACTCTCTACCCTACCTTGAGAACTAGAAGGTGTGTATCCATGTAATCTCTTCCCTACCTTGAGCAATAGAAGCTTTGTATCCCTAAACTATCTACCCTACCTTGTGTACTAAAAGTTTTGTATTCCTGTACTATCTACTCTACCTTGAGAACTAGAAGGTTTGTATTCCTGTACTCTCTACCCTACCTTGAGAACTAGAAGGTTTGTATTCTATCTACCCTACCTTGTGTACTAAAAGTTTTGTATTCCTGTACTATCTACCTACCTTGAGAACTAGAAGGTTTGTATTCCTGTACTCTCTACCCTACCTTGAGAACTAGAAGGTTTGTATTCCTGTACTATCTACTCTACCTTGAATACTAGAAGGTTTGTATTCCTGTACTATCTACTCTACATTGAGAACTAGAAGGTTTGTATTCCTGTACTATCTACCCTACCTTGAGAAATAAAAGGTTTGTATTCCTGTACTATTTACCCTACCTTGAGAACTAGAAGGTTTGTATTCCTGTACTATCTACCCTACCTTCAGAACTAGAAGGTTTGTAATCCTGTACTATCTACCCTACCTTCAGAACTAGAAGGTCTGTATTCCTGTACTATCTACTCTACCTTGAGAACAAGAAGGTTTGTATTCCTGTACTATATACCCTACCTTGAGAACTAGAAGGTTTGTATTCCTGTACTATCTACTCTACCTTGAGAACTAGAAGGTTTGTATTCCTGTACTCTCTACCCTACCTTGAGAACTGGAAGGTTTATATTCCTGTACTCTCTACCCTACCTTGAGAACTAGAAGGTTTGTATTCCTGTACTATCTACCCTACCTTCAGTACAAGAAGGTTTGCATCTCTGTATCGAGCAAGCATCTCTGGCTCTGCTTGAACTCCAACGGTTAACCCTTCCAGAAGATTTTCAACTGCTCTACCTATCAGTAGAAGAATGCTGCTAACCTCCCTGAACAGATAACAAGGTTCAAATATGCTGTTTGAAACCCTTTTGGTAGGAAAGTTGTTAAACTTTAATCTTCAAATTGTTTTGTACAAATTTTTCAAGAAATTAACTGAGTTCCTGCCACAAACTCTAATTCTATAGTCCCTATATCTTGGCAATATAATAGAGTAAATCTTTGATATTTCAAGCTTAAACTATTTAATCTAATCCAATGGAGTTACTAATTTGAAATATAAAATTTGAAAAATAAGTCTACATCATCAAGTTGCAAATACATTGTAAATACGCTAGCTAACGATTTATGCGGAAATAAATGATCTTTCAAATTTATATTTATTTATTTATTAATTGTGGCAACCCTAAAACAACGCATGGAGACATCACCCCCCGTCAGCACCTTTCTAGCTGAATGATACCAGGTCATGTTTAGGTAAGGTCTGGTAAGCTATCATGGTTCTTTGTTGTATGACGCCCGGGGCTAGGCCAATAATCTGGTTACCTGTTCGTTCTTGCTGTTCTTAAGCACTCCAGCACTTGCTGCAGAGCGGACATATGCGGCTGTGCTGGCAATCCTAAATCAATCATTTTAAACAAATCAATTACAATTATCACTGTTTTTTTTTGGCAACCGATCTCCGAAGTCCAAATTAATTAACATTTAGTGTGAACCAGTGCTCCGGATATGTGACAGTTTGGCTTTCTGGGTCGGATTTGAAAAATTGTGATCCGGATCCCGGATCAAAATATGAACGAAAACTGCTAAATAAAAACTGTTAATTCCTGAGAAATTCCTATTCTCAGTATGGTCCATCAAGTTTCAGCATAAAATGCGACAACAACTGGATTTAAAACTTTTTCATATATTAAAAAGTTCAGAAAATTTTTAAGGGCCATTTTGTGATAGTTGTTACATAAAAAAATATCATCTACATCGGTTGCCTTATAGGAATGCCGCCAACTGTTTCAAAGGTCAAAAACGACTTTGAAGTCGTCAATTAAAACTATTCGGGTTTATTTTGAATATGACTGTAAGATTACTCCAAATATGTACCTGTGCATCCCTCTATGAAGGGTTGAAGTTTATTATAAACCTCGTCGAGGATTGCCCAACTCTCCTCACTAGCATTTAGTGGAGTAGATACAGGGATTCCTTCACTACCGTTCGTCTCAACAAAATTTTATAAAAACCATTACATTGATGTTAAAAGGTCTGCAAGAGTATTTTCAAGTGACCATCCATGCAAAAATGACATTGCCCGATTAACACCGGTCACTTTACAAGCTTTGTATGATAAAGAATGATTCGAAATTAATGCTTTGATTTCTTTTAACAGAGCTGGGAACTTTTTAATCCTAATCTCGAGATTGAACAGTGCTTGTTCTCCTTTTTTTTATTAATCTCCAGATTAATTAACAGATCGGGATTAAGGATATCCCATTCTAAAGTTTCAGCTCTATTTATTTTCATTTACGTTTGTCTGCAAAAGTGGTTTGCTAATTTCTTGCTCAAAAGCAACAATGGAGCAATTATCAAAGTTAAACACTTTGAGTCAGGAAAGCGACGTGATCTTCCAAATTTTTTTATATCAAGGTTTCAAGTGTATATCGTTGTAAATCAGGCATTATTGTTATCGTTATCATTTAAGGATATTTTGGTGGTTATCGGGACGTCCATAAACACTTTTATTTCAAAATTTAACCTAGAACAGGATGCAAATTGCATTACAAGGAAGAAAATTGGAGAACAAGAAGTGAAGTGCAGAAAATGAATCTATTTCATTTAAACATATTGTTCAAAATTTTCATTTTTGAAAAAAGTTAACTTTAAAAATTATAAAAGGAGAACCCGTTGTTCAAGGAAGTATGGGCCCAGCAAACTTTAAATGGAGGGTAACTTGAAATTACACTTACAGTACCTTCAAATCATTTAGTATGTGTATTAAAATATTATTTGTTAATATGTAAAAAATTTCAAGGTATTCAACCACCAGGTTCCAAAAATATATGGGATACATCGAATATAAAGTTTTATTTAATTGTTGCGTTTCTAAAAAACCTCTAGGGGATAATGCAAGACAAAGGTAATGCAATATCCAAAATAAATCCATGATGATTAATTTGAATTGTAAAAAATAACCACATATAGTGGGACCCAAAAATCTTTCATTTAGATTTTAAACAAATTACTTTCCAGTAGCTTGCAGTTCAACTTATTAATAATTATGGGCATGTGTTCAATGCACAATGTCTGTGTTTTATGTGCAAAGTGAGTGAAACGGTCTTTATATTTCACAATATTTAGGGGGTTTACTATATTAATTCTTTTCCAGGATGTTAACAAATAAAATACCTTGGGAGCTATGGTGGCTGCTTCTGTATCAGACAACGGTTTGAAGCCAGGGATAGTTCTTGCAAATTCCTCGTATACTGCTGATTGTACAACAGGAACTTGACCAACCTAAACACATAAATGTACTGCCATCTTGTACAACTAACTATACCACGGTGGATTAAGATTAATTTGAATTCGAACCGGCCTGACCCTATAATATGCCGGCTCGGTTTCAACTTTGATGGCGCGGCCAGACTTTTTGCAGTTCCCGGCCAATCAGTCATACGCCTATTTATAATTGACCTTCCCCACTAGCTTAGTTGAGTGTGTACTGTGCAGTACCCCATTTAACTTGAATTATGTGGATACCTAGGGTGGGTTTAGACCCCCCCCCCACACACTCCCACACCCCTACTACTTTACTTTCATCATAGGGGGGGGGAGTGGGAGGAGATAAATTTTATTACAGAACCTGACTAAATTGAAATTTATCAAGACAACATTTTTCTTTATTGGTTTTTCCCTCTTTCTCTCTTTCTTGCTTTTACTTATATAGCCATCAATCAGTTATCATTTCAACTTTTACACAATCATTTTTTGTAAAATTGCTGCTGAAATGGTGGTGGTCGCAGAGGGACATCAAACAAAGCAAAAAAAAATACGTCCCTTCTAAAATTTAAATTATAGATTTTGAGCAGGAATTATACATGCATTGATAAAAAAGTCAGGAAAGGGGGGGGGCGGGGGGAAGATGGAAAATCAAAAAAGTAATGAACATAGTAGAAGAAATAAGGTCTACTGACTCTGGACTGACTGGACTGTCACACGTTTATAAAAGGTTTAAAATTTGGCAAGTGATCCAACCCTTTAAGAGAAAGTAAGGTAGATGTTAGTTACAAAAGGTTTCGAACTATCACAGCCCAACCATCAATTACATTTACCATTCTATTTGAAAAGCCTTATTATTTGTATATAGTTCAAACCATCATGAAAAGAAAACCAACGTCTTAATATTTGATTTTTGTGACTTGCATGGGAATCCAGCATTGCGTGGAAACTTAACCTTTAATAGTCAACCCAACACAACCTAGAATTGTAAAAAAGAACATTCCAGAGGTTCCATCGAGTTCCCCAAGATAACTTTCGAAGCAGATAGGTCCAGGGGTTCCAAAGTTATGATCGGAAATCCAAACAAACGAAAAAAAGACGGGTAAGACGAGCAAAGATTACTATTTTAAACTGTGCTTAATTTTGATGAGGATCCGGATCTAGATCCTGGATCCGGACTGGAAGAATGAATCCGGATCCAGGTTATTTACATAAAATTCACTGAATTTTTTTAAACAAAGCAGAATTTTCACATTTTTTGTCTTATTTTTTTCGCTTTTTTGTGCTTAAACTTAATGAACCATTCAGAAATCTCTCTTTTTTTTATTAGTTCAGATTTGGCAGAATAATTTTTTTTCTTTCAATTTTTTGTTGATATTTTGTCCCTTTGATCATATTTTTGCGGATCCGGATCCAGGAAGTTTTTTTCTTAGAATTTTGTTATGAATTTATGATAGAACATACTAAAAAAATACTCCAATTAAAATGGGAAAAATACCAAGAAGAGAAATAAAAAACCCGTCAATTATAAATGGTTTATCTGATGATATTTTTTATTTTTTTTATATTCTCTCCCTGTTACGTGATTTTAAAAGAAATGTGAGAATATAAATAAAGTTATTTTCAGATAAAGACCTGAAAGCGGATCTAGGACTACATTATTCTTTAATAAGGTTTTTAGTTTTAGTTTTAGTAGTAAAACAACCAATTTTAGATATATCCTAGTATTCGCAAGATTGTAGTCTTTTAAATAAAAAAGAAATATTTAAGGTAAGAATATTTCCGATACGAAGTTCAGGGGTGTATATTTTTTGAAAAGCCAATAAATTAAATTGTGGAAAATGAATTTTTTTTTTTGAGGGGGGGGTATTTGGGTGAAAAATTTCTAAAATGATAAAAACATGCTTGCGTTGTAATTTCCGATTTTTCATTTTTTCCCACTCAGATCATAAAAAGTCATCCCCCCCCCCCCACTGAGGTTATTCTCAAAATTAAATACTCTAAAGGAAGTTGGTCACTAAAAATATAATTATATACTTGGTGACAGACGTCAAACGCCAAACAAAAAATATTATATATTTAGCTTCCTTAAATATATACAACTGCCTTGTCTGTCTGTTGGTTTGTTTGTTTAGATACAAACAAACGTCAGAAAGGGTTAATCTAATGCAAGTTTGAATTAAGATTATTATCGGCCTCCAATAACCTAAAATCTTTAAATCCCCTTTTATAATAAAACTGCACACTAGAGCATATTTTAGCTTTCTTTTAACGGATAATTGGGGGTTACACCCCACTTAGCCCTGTTTTTTTTTTGGTCACCCTGTATAGTGAGGGAATGAATATTGATATGCATGAACACTTGAGAGATAAAAAGAAAGGATTCATAAATATTGAGTAATCATGAATGCATATATTTGTTTTCTGATTCCTCCCTAGTATTACTATATCTACACAAAAAAAGCACGTAGCATTCTGACTCTTAATTCTTTACCCGGGGTTCCTCCAAGAGCAAAGGAATTGAGTTTTTGTCACAAACTCTGATTTTCTTATCCCTATATCTTTACATTTGAAAGTCGGAGACCTTAGATATTTGAAACTATGAATCATTTTAGATCAATTAATGATAGTTTGAAATATCAAAGGTTTGCATCATCAGGTTGAAAAGATATGGCGATTGTAAAATCATAATTTGTGGCAAAAACTCGGTTCATTTGTGTCAGTTTACCTGACCTAACTGACCCGCCACTTTCAGATTTGGAAAACAACTGCAAATTTTGAGCAAAAACCTGCCAATTTGGGAGAACTATCTGCCCATTTAAAGAACAGATCTGCAAATTTAGGGAAAAAGTTGCCCAAGTAACAGAAGAAATTGCAACTTTAGCCAAAAAAAATCTGCCACACATACAATCAGATGCCACAATAAGTCTCCTAATGCAACCACATAGAAAAGCTACAAATAAAATTTGCCACAATTGCATTCAAATAAAATTTGCCATAAAGAGACCATCTAATTGCATGATTTCTTCAAAAGGGGAGGGGTGCATTATCTGAGACAAAAAGGTTTTTAGTTATCATGCAAATCAAAATATCTTCTCAAAAGTTTGTTAGAGAACGAAGACATGTTTCAACAAAGACAAAAGATGTATCTAAAATAAAATATAGTGTGTAAAAAATTAAAGTCAGGTTTTTAGCCGTTATTCATAAATCTTAACAACTTTTAAGGTTTTTAGATCAACAAAAATGGGGAGTGGGGGGTTCCCCAACCCCACCCATCTTTTGGTTTCTACAATTCTAACCTTGGATCGAATGGGTTCAGGCATCCGTTCTGACTGGTAGGTGACTGCTACGGGGTCGCAGTATCTTCTTCCCTCTTTTCTGGCGAGTTTACGGAGTTCAAATTCAACATTCAAGCGTTTATCTATCTCAGGAATAGCCTGGAATATAAAAATAATATTTAAAGATTCTCCATTTTTAGTGAGGTATACCAGATTCGTGACGATTGTCTTTAAACCATTAATTGACCAATAATGTGACGGATTATCCACGTTTTTATAATTTAGTGATTATAAAAATTAAAAAATTAAAAATTAAAATATCAATTTAAAATTTATTAACAAGGATCATTCTTGAACAGAATTTAGAGAACCTTTAGGACAGTGAGGGAAGGGTCTTATGAATTTAAGTTTTCCCTTAAATATTACTTGGAATGGAAAACATTACAAACCTTATATATATTGTACCCAGGGAGTAAGGAATAGAAGGGAGATAAAACTGACGCGGTTCGCTCTACCATATGATTATACATGCTTTGCATTTTAATAAGAAATATTTGTCTGATGTACAATAACCGCGTACACAATAAGCTTTTCTGAATAGTTCATATACAAATGGAGTACCCGTCTGCAAGGCACGTATAATCATATGGTAGGGCGAACCGCGTCAGTTATATCTCCCTTCTATTTCTTACTCCCTGATTGTACCTCTAGGTTCTAAAAATATATGATTAATGAATGAAGCAAGGGTACATTTATTAATTATAAGATGAATGAATCTAGAAGAATACCAGATTGATTAACATCAACAATAAAACAAATAAATAAGAAAAAGTACAGTATTGAAAGACACAAAAACTCTTGAAAATTTGGATATTAAAAAATTTAGTTGGCAAAGCATAAACCACGTTTTTTAAAACTAGAAATCTTTATTACGTGACCAGCTCGCTATATCACATTAAACAAAATATGTATAATTTTAGATTAAAGGGACTGTAAGCGTAATTTTAAGTGACTCTCCATGCAAAGATGGCAATGCTTAATTCACAACGGTACCCTTAAAATCTTTACGTGATCAATAATAATGTGGAAGATAATAAAATTTGTATAGATTTAAAAGTGTTGTCCTGCAGAGGAAACAAGTGAGCCACGTTTGTAAAGAAACACAATTAAAATATTTTGTTCTCAAAGCTCTAACTATTGATGTCTAATTCAAATTTGATCAGACAAAGCTTTAAAGGGTACTGTTGTGAATCAGTCTGAATTTGAAATTTCAATGTCAGTCTTTTTAAACTCTCGAATATTTTCTACATTAGAACTATAGACAAGTAAAACAGTTGTTCAGAAAACATTTTTTTATGAATAGTTTTTTTCTAATTCCTTAAATTCAAGTTTGCATTTCTTACAAATACAATTTCTACAATGGGGTAGAGCGCCGGGCCGTGGCTGGGAACGATAAAGGATACATTCTTTAGACGTACATTTTTAACGCGTGGGGGGGGGGGTAAAATAATTCTTACCTTTTCTACAGCCTTCTTCTGAATGAAAGCACAGGCGAGCTCTACATTATCGTTGGCGATCACAGAGACGGTGACGTCGACAGTCTCCAACGAGGGGAGCATAGTTCGCCCGAGGGTCATCAGAATGTTCTTCAAGTGGTTCTTGATACTCTGCAGTAGGTGGTCCCTGAAGTTAAGTTTTGGTTATTATTAGATTAAATAAAATATCTCATTTGAAGTTTGCAAGTATTTATGATTTTAAGAGTTTTCCTCATTACATTGAGTTAGGAGGATAAAAAACTTTAAAAACTGTTTTATTTTTAACTTGTAACTTGTTCACTATAAACTTAGTCCTTCTGGCGTCAAACACAGCCAGAAGCCACCCCCTTTCTTAGCATCATTGTTTTTGCTAAAAGTTAAAGCCTCTAAACATAGAAAAGAAGCGTTTAGCATGATTTATTTCTTTCGGTTAAGTTTTTTTTTGAGGGGGGGGTGAATTTAAGAAAACGTATACCCCTGGACGAGGCTAAATGTTACCTGCAGGTGATCATCGCCATCCCCGAGGTAAGGTTCCTGACCATCTGATGCGCTGCGGTCCTCATCCTGTTCTCGTCGTGGTCCAGGCTAAAGTCCTTCTTCACGATCTGTTCACATGTTGTCACAGCGATCTTAATCGCTCGTTCGATAACCGGGGAGATCCATTCGTTGACAGATTTCTCGATGGATAGTTTGATCAGCTGCAGGATCTCAGGATGTTCCTAAATAACTTGGATTTTCAAACAAAATAAATCTTAAATAAACTGTCGTCGAAATTTCAAGCGAGTGTGAGCCTAATTATTTTTTTCTTCGTTTCTGTAGTAAAAATCCGCAAAGAGTGACGCTAGAAATCGTACTCAGTGCAGTGTATACATATCTTGAAATGAAGATAAAGATTAAAAGTAAGATTGTTTTTTAGGATTGAATTGGTGTCATTTGAAATTACATCTTTAGTTCATTTAAACCCATTGCATTCTAATAATTACACCTTCCCTCCCGCCCCTGGCCATGGCCTGTATACATTAATCCTCCATAATGAGGCTGTAATAATCATTAATGAGTATCCAAATTTGACAAGTTTCCTACCTTAACCAACTGTATCCGAGTATCTACAGATATATGTGGACCAAGTCCAGATAAGTTTGATGTATTGATCTCTAAGAAATGGAATTTAGGCTCCTGGCATCTATTTAATCCAACGGAACTGGCATCAATCTAAAATATATATATGTATATATATTTGTATACAAAAATTAAAAAAGAGGAGAGGGGTTATCTGTGCTTAAGGATTCATTTAATTTTGATGCGGATCAGGATCCAGGTCATGAATATTTCTTTAAGATTAATTAATTTTTTTAAAGGAAAAAAATTTAGATTTATTTTTCTTCTTTTTTTCGCTTAATTTTATGCTAAAGCTTGATGAACTTTTAATAGAGCTTTTTAACAGTTCAAGTTTGGGTTTTGAGAGCAAAACATTTTTTTCGCAGTCATTTGTTGATATTTTGATCCCAATTGTTACCGATTCAACGGATCCGAAGCCTAACCACGTGGTGGGGGATACAGATAAAGATGCAGTAAAAGCAGAAAGTTTATGAGGGCTTAAGAAAAAGTAAATGGTTTCATAAAAAAAAGAATGTAATGAGACTGAGAGGTGAGAAGAATGAACTTAATTTTGTCAAAATTGAAATGTCAAGTGCAGATTTTTCTGCTCAATATTAAAAAATGAAAAATTCCGCAAATACAGATGAATGCAGATAATAAAAACCTGATACAAAAATAGGGATAACTCAGTGCGTGGGAAGATTACAAATGAGCCATGAATAAATAATATCGAATGATAAATTATTAAAAAAAAAACTCGTACCTTTTGAATAGGTTCTGGTTGGACGGCAGCCTGTGCTGTTTGTGTGGTGAGATTAGCTGCTGCTTGAGGCGTGGCCATCATAGCTCCGCCCATCCCTAAGCCTGCTGAGCCTGGCTGAGAGAAAGCAGCTGCAGTACTGATGCTGCTTAAACTGTTGGGAGCCTAAGTTATTAATATTAAATTATAAAACTAGAAAAACCATTATTAAATCAAATTAAATCCCATCACATGACATTAGACTCCAGTAGTGGATTAGATGTTCCAAGTCCATTCCATGTCCTGGTTTTTCAGTCCGGACTTCTCTTTAATATATCATATCAACAACCAGTGTATTTACAATTTGTTTTGCAAATTGCGAAGTTCCAAATTTAAGTCATGCCTTACCTTGGGGTCGCCGTCATCCAAGATTTGCCTGGCTCTTAGGCAAAAGTTAAATGACGAAAACCTCCCTAGCGAGTTTTTCTTTCTATTTATTATTAATTATTTGAATGTAATTTGAATACTTCTAGTTTAATAATTTGCTTGGTTTGCACAGTAGAACCAAATATATGTTGTACTATAAGAGAAATTATATCGAATATATGTTACGTTATATTTTTAAAATCAAGTCCAGTCAAGAAGCCTTAATTATGAGCGATTTTAACTATTAATGTCATTCAGAGTTGACACTCATGCGTTTTAAGTTTGAATGATGAGTATTTCCTTAGTGAGTTATAAAGATCCATTTTTTATTGGTATTTTATGATTATTAAAGGGTATACAGTATATCATAGTTAACTGGTCAAAATGGTTAAGCCATGACTAGAAATTAATCAAATCTTGTCAAGAATTTTCAAGGAAATGTTTAAAATTTATAATGTTAATCGTGGATTTATTTGACAGTAGAAGTCATGGGTCACTTGAAATTCCGTTTACAGCCCCTTTAAATCCTATTAACCTGTACTCTGTACAGTGTACTCCTACCTGTGTGAGGCTAGGTCCAAAGCTCTGGCTAAAGGAGGACTCCTGCATCTTCATTCCCATTGTCTTGGACAATCCTTTCAAGGACTGGTTCTCGTTGTTAGCTCCAAGATCCTAAACAAAACAATTTTGTTACACAACACAGATCTAGGTGGGATTACGTCTCCTAAGCCAGATCTGGGAAAGAGATGTGAAAAAAATCAAAAATTCAAATAATTACTAAAAAGATTTTCTCGAAAAACAAACACATGAACCACCCTCCCCTCAGGATG